AAATTTTAAAAAAAGTAGATGTGTAAATATTTTTAATCAGTATTATTTGGAAAATAAAACATAACCACATAAAATTTAAAAAAAAGAAAACAAAGTGCTTTCTTCCTTTTCTGTAAAAAACTTCAAGTTTTACAAAGCATGTTTTTAGGTTTTCAGCCTTTGTATTTCATGCGAATGTCTTTAAAAAAAAAAAGGCGAATTTGTTACATTTAAACCTGTAATCCCAGCATTCAGGAGGCTGAGGCAGGAGGATCACCTCAAGTTTGAGGCCAACCCGGGATGCACAGCCAGACCATAAAAGATTTTTTAAAAACCAACAAAAACTGTGTGTAGGGGAGCCCAGGGCCTTGCACACACTGTGCTCTTCCAGGTGGATCTTGGAGAGAAGCACGGAGTGGAGCTTCCCACAGAGTGGAGGGCACATCAGCAACTGCTGGCTGGAGTGGAGGGTGGAGGAAGCAGGGGTTTTTTAAAAAAAAAATTTAAACATTTAAAAAATCTTTATTTAGTGTGTGTGTGTGTGTGTGTGTGTGTGGCCAGCTCAGCTCACCAGGGGGCGGGGCTGGCTGGCATGTGGTGCTGGGGGATTGAACCAGGGTCCCTGTGCTTTGCTTAGCCTAGCTTGTTCTAAGTAGGTGCTTTAGACCACTGAGCCATCTCACCAGCCCCAGGAAGTAGGTTTTGAGGGGAAGTGCTTTCTGGAGAGCCCCTCCAGCCCCATGCAGTGCTGCCCCTTCCACCAGCAGGGGAGCCCAGGGACTCAGCTTACTCAGTCCTGGTTACAGGAGGCATTCTTGGGGATTTTCGCAGCAGTGGGTGATGGGCGGTGGATGTTGAAAACAGCACCAGGATTTTGCACTGATTTTGCACTTCCTGCTCTGCAGCCCAGCCATCTCATTGCGAGGCCTCCACACACATCCAGGCAGACCTGGGTCATGGACTCGTGTTAATATCATCCCTTAGTTACTGCGGGCTGATCAGGCCCACGATCTGCAAAGGAGCATGTGGTGAAAGCGTGAGTCACATACGATTTTAGGGCTCCAGGAGCGCAAAACCCTGTAGCAAAACCTGAGATTCTCTGGGGGCTAAGACAAAGATCTTACATGTTTAGTTATCACAAGGGAGGGGAATACTGGAGAAAGGTGGGAACTGCTCAGGGGCCTCTCCAAGAGAGGCATTATGCTAACTTAGGAGAACTGTTATTTCCTGGAAGGTCTCCACACGCATGAGGGTCCTGCAGCTGCAGTCTTTATCTAGTGAACTGAGGTTGGAGCCAGGTGTCCTCAGCTGTGGCCTTGCTTTTCCTTTGAGGTGTCATGGCTCCCCTGCCATTCCAGTGGGGCCAGTGACCCGCAGAGGGGAGGGTCACTTGCTATGAGACCACCGTCCACCTCCAGCCAAGGGGCCTCAGGCAGAAACACGGAAAGACAATTGGTTAATAAACCCTGCTCAGAGCCACTTTGTAGTGGTCTCCATCAGTGGATCCCACAGATGTTGTCCCCGCCTGGCAGAGTAGGACAGCTGCCACAGGGTGGCCCTGAAAGGGGCAGACTAGTCTGGAATTGGGATCCAGGTTGTGTGATTGGAAGGGGCACTGGGTACCCGAGAGTCAAAGACAGCCACTCTGTACCCCAGTGACTCTCAGAGTGCCACTGACAAATGATCGCAGCCGCTGCCTGCCCTCCACACGCAGAGGATTTTCCTGGAAGTGCATGTGAACTCAGATTTGCTGGTGCCCATTCGTATCAGCCACTCTGGGCACTGAGGTGCAGTGTGCACAAGGTGGCACAGCCCTGCCCTCCCGAGCCAGGTCTCCTAACCTCCCTGTTCCTGCCCACAGGGAATCCTGGGAACCTCACTCCTCCTGGTTTCTTAACAACTTCCGCCCAGTGCAGGCTTCACGGCTGCACTTGTAGACAAGACCCCTCTGGAGGAGCTCTACTCACACACTCCAGACCTCTCCACCCTGGCTTCCAGGAGCCCCCCGCCTCCTCTCTGGTGAAGGGCTCTCCTCCATGGAGCGCAGCTGGCTTGAACTCACTGCATAGCTCTTCCCTCCCTGGTACCACATGCCCTGCCCCCGTGCGTGCTGAGCCAGCCACTGAGACTGGGCATGCCTGTAATCTTAGCGCTGGGTGAGACCCTGTACCAAATACATTTTTTGGGGGGGGCAGAACCAGGGATTGGGCTCAGGCCCTTGCACTTGCCAGGGAAGCGCTTATTCCACTGAGCCATCTCCCCAGCCCCAATACATTTTATTTTTTTATTTTTATTTATTTGAGAGAGAGAGAGAGAGAGAGAGAGAGAGAGAGAGAGAGAGAGAGAGAGGTGTGTGTGTGTGTGTGTGGCCAGCTCAGCCCACCAGGGGGCGCGGCTGGCTGGCATGTGGTGCTGGGGGATTGAACCGTGGTCCCTCTGCTTTGCTAAGCTTGTTCTAAGTAGGTGCTTTAGACCACTGAGCCATCTCTCCAGCCCTACATTTTATTTTTAAAAATATTTATTTTTCAGCTGGCTCGGGCTACCCTAAGGACAGGTCTGGTAAGGCATGTGGAGCTGGGATCAAATCGTGGCTCCCTGCGCCCGACTGTGTTTGCACGAGCGGGCACGTAAGCAACTGAGCTAACCTGCATATACACAATGATCACAGTCATCACGGAGAATTGTACCTATACGTGATACTTTATTCTTTGTTCCTGTTCTCCTCCCTTCCCTTCAAGCTTCCTTCTCCTCCTCATTTACCCCTTTGTTTCCAGTTTTCCTTCTATTTCGTTTTTCTTGTCCCTTCCTTCCGCCTCTCCGCTCTTGTTCCCCTTCTGATTTGAACATTTTCTTCCCATTTCCCAGTATCTGCTACAATTTAGTCCTTAGCCACACTTTTGGTTTCTCACACCAGGAAACCATGCGGACCTGATTTGTGCCACCTGCCTGCCTCCCTCACCCCTTCCTGTGCTGCTGGCTGCTCCGCTCTTGCTCCTGCCCATCCTGTCAGCAGCCGAGTCCTGGTCCTCACCTGCACTCTGCTGTGCCAAACACAGGATGTACAGCCCTGGCTCTGTCCCTGTGCCCCAACTAGGGTGGTGTTCTGAGTCCCCTCCACCTGGCACCTCTGGAAGGAAGCCAGCCCTGCCCCTGCAGCCAGCTGCTGCCTTCCGTCTCTGCTCTGCACCTGAGCCTTTCGCGGGCCACTTCTGCCTCGGGCATCTCCATCCTGTGACACATGGCCTTGTAGGGAGCACTTGCACTTCCTCCGGCCATGTTCTCTGTGCGGGCCTAGTACCCAGTCTGGGACTCAGCACTCAGACAGACCTGGAATTGACCGTAGTTGTCTGTTCATGGGTAAACAAGTAAGGTCCTTAAAGCAGAATGTTAGCCGGGCAAGGTGACAGCCCTGTTGTGATCCCAGCTCTCAAAAGGCTGAGGCAGGATCACAAAGAGTTCGAGGCCAGCCTGGGCTACACAGTGCTTTCTAGGTCAGCCTGAACTGCATAGTGAGATCCTGCCTCAAAACTTACCCAAACAAAACCCAGCCGAGCCAAGGCAAACCAGACAAAACCAAACCAGAATGTTTCGAGTCGAGTCACTGAGTTTGGGGGAATTTCTTCTAGCATCCTGAAGGTGGCGAATGCTTTCTTTGGCAGTCACTCCAGCAGTGTGCCCCAGAGGACCTGGTGGAGCTGGTGCTGCCCCGGCTGGCACAGGTGGCCACCGTATATGAGTTTCTCCTGGCGAAGGTGAGTCTTCGGCGGATCGGGGCGGTGCTGTTCCCACAGGACAGCCTGCAGCATGGCGAGGGCCCCGTCGGGAGCCAGGCCTGCAGCCCACGCAGCTTCTGGGGCATCCCGTCCTAGGCTGCTCCTGCTGAAGCCCGGCCTCCCTCCCCCTGCCACCTGGGGCTGTGTGATGGCTGACCTGGCTGGACGTCTCCCTCTGTCAGCTGCACACGGCAGTGCCCCTGGGGACAGGGCAGGCCCATGGTTGCTGGGACCTGCGTTCCTTGCTCCTTTGCCCGGATGTCCTATGTTACTGCTGCAGGTGTGAACTCCCCTCGCTTCCTGTCCTCACAAAGGCCAAGGACGGTGGCACCGCGCAGCCCTGCTTCCCGGCCGTGTACAGAGAGTTCGAAGAGCTGCACTGCAGGGTCAGCAGCATGTATCAGGAGCTCCTCGGCCGTGCCAGCCCAGCTTCTGGGCAGCCCCTGGACGTCAGGAACCCTCAGGTGATACCTGCTCGGAAGAGGTGCTGTCACCGTGAGTTGGGAGGCAAGAAGGGGACGCTTTTGTAGCGATGCTTTGAAGTCACTGCTGTGTTGCTGTTTCCCCTTCAAGTGAAGTATTGGTTTCCCTAATATGAAAATGCTAAGTGCTTGACCTTAAAACTCCAAAATGCAGATTCACTAACAGAAAATGAAAACCCTATTATGGTTCCCTCTGCCAGGGCCTGAGGCTGTTACATATGGGGGTGGGCGCATGGCCAGCAGGTGTCACTTTTGGGGTTTTGCTGTTGATGCTGTGGCTGCTTTTCTGGTCCTGAGTATTGGAGCCAAGGCCCAAGTGCTGAGCACCATTTCCAGCGTTTTATTTGAGAAGGGTCTTGGTAAGTTGCTAAATTGCCCAGACCAAGCTCAAACTTTGTTGTTTGTTTTTGAGACTGAATCTCACAATGTAGTCCTGGCTGGTCTTGAACTCATGACAATCCCCAGCCTCAGCGCAGGCCTCCTGCGTGCTGGGATGGCAGGCATATACCATCACACCGGGCCAAGAAGTTCATGTCTACCTGCCGCTCTCTCTTCAGGTTGCTGAGTCCTTAGGAATTACAGGCTTTCTGAGGAAGGCAGAAGCACACTCAGACTGCACAGCAGCCCAGCACCACAGCATGGAGAGGGCCGGGCAGAGGTCTGAGGAAGCCCGCAGTTGGCAGGGGGCATGTGAGGTGGGCACAGCAGTGAGGGGCAGGTTCCTGGGTGTCTGGCAGCTTTGGGCTAGTGGATTGGTGTCGGGTTCCCCAAGGTCTCCCAGGAGCATAGGGGCTGGGCTCTGACACCCGCCAGCTGGTATCTGGGTCTGGTCTTAGCAGTGTCTCTCCATAGGCTGCAGAGCAAGCACCCACAGCGTGGAGGCCCCGGCAAGCAGTTCTGCCCATGACCTGCCCAGAGTGCCCTGCTGCCCACAGTAGAGACCAGGAGATTCCCGGGCTGTCTACACCCACTGCACACCTGGGTAAGGTGGTGCAGATTGCCCCAGGCTGCTGCCCCACAGGGTAGGGAACCCCTTCAGGGCTTTGGAGTTCCCTTAGGGAGGGGCCACCCGAGAGCCCCCATGGGGGCAGAGATGACCACAAGGATATGGAATCCGTGACATGGCTGTCATAAGACCTGGCTCTCGCAGCCGAGAATCAGATGGAAAACAAGACACCTCCTGCCATTTCCAATGGCCAACAGACCCTGTCCCCAAGTTCTGTACACATTCAGCTCCTGCCGTGGCCTCCAAGCCTTTGTGACCTTGTCAGGGCCCCGGTCCCTTTCCTGGGTCGAGGTCTCAGATGATGTGGAAGGCAGGCAGGACACACTTCTAAGACAAAAATCTGCCTTTGTGAACAGATGCAAGCCAGTCTGGACCAGTGTGGTGTGAGCTGGTGTTATGTACAACACAGATGCTTGTTTCTCTGTCTGTTTAGGTTTCACCCCTCCAGCGAGTGGGACTACTCCTCCCCCTTCTGAAGGCAGCCAGGGGCTGGCCGTTTCCGGTGGTGACACAGGTGTGTCACATGCAGGCTGTCAGCTTAAGGAATCTGCTGACTCTGAAGCCAGGTGTGCGTCTGCAGGCCGTGTTGCTCTGGGTGAGGCCTGTCATGGAGCAGCTCTCGGTGCCCAGCTAGTTGAGCCCCAAGAGAATGTTCCAGATGCCAGGCCCGCCCTGGGGAACCCAGGAGTCCACAGCACCCTGTCACCAGTGGGAGAGGCTGCAGGTGCAGAGCCAGGGGATCCAGGTGCCAGGCCCATGGCCCCCCTGCCCGAGGAGCTCTTGCCCACAGATGTCATGCCAGTGGGCTGTGCTCGCAGGACTGGCCCAGACAGGTCACCGCTGACTACAGGACACCATGCCAGCAATCTGAAGCAGCTCCTCCAAGGGATGGAGGTGGATGTTGGCCACGGAGACCTGGAATGTGTGCCTGTGGGGGACACTGTGACTTTGGGAATTACAAGTGGGTACCCAGAGGTGTTACCTCAGGGCAAGGAGCAGATCTTCATTCAGACTGCCAGTGGAGTCCTCCCGTCCCACGCGAGGACCACCATGTCCCAGGGGGACGCTGTTCTGGTGACTGGCACAGAAGGCCCTGGCCTGCACGTTGGGGGCCTGGAAGGTGTCCCCCTGGGTTTGGGCACAGCTCTCACTGTACCGGCAGAGCCCTCGCAGTGATCAGAGGTGTGGCGTCTGTCTCTCCTGGAGTCTGGGGTGGGCAGGGGCATTTCTCCCATGTGAGCCCTGACACAGATGAGCCTCTGCTCGCCCCACTGTCCTTGGTGTGTATAGTACTAGGGATGCGAGCCAGGCCTCTGTGCACAGAAAATCTCCAGACCTTTTTATTTTTTAATTTGCTTTTTAAAAGTCTTCCTATGTACCCCAGGCTGGCCTGTTCTGGGCACAGGGCTGAGCTCACAGGAGGGAGAAAACAGGCTGGGGTGTACCCGTGGGCACAGGAAGTCCAGGGCAGCAAAGGAAGCCCTCCCCCCCAGCCCATCAGCACACAAATGCCCTGGGCATTTCCTCATCTGTAAAAGGACAAAGAGGGTGTGCCCCGTGTTCTCCTTAGTAGATGAATTAAGTCCAGTCTCTGTGGATGAGCTAGGGGTGGCAGTGTACATCTGGCCTCCCCACTATTCAGGAGGCTAAAGCAGAATTACATGTCCCTGGCCAGCTTGGGACTGATACACAGAGCAGAGCCTGTGGATGTAAGTGGGAGAGTCTGAGTTCAACCCTGTACCACTAAGGAGGTCTTGATAAACTTAGCTAAGTAGCATGTTCATGCAAGAACTCCCTCACCAGGGGCCGAGGCTGGTGCTCAGTGCGGAGCACTTGCTTAGCGTGCCTGAGGCCCTGCTTCTGCCCAGAGTCCCCCTACAAGTGTTATTCAGTGTTACAGAGTCCTATAGAATGTGAGCCGCAGGAACTCACGCTCCTCACTGGCCTCTCGCCCCCTCAGCCTGCACACCGTGGTGACTGCGGAAGTGGTTTGCATTTCCATGCTGCCAAACTGTACGGGACTTCACGTGTGATTTGTGATTACAGAACTGATATATTCTCATAAGGATTTATAGGGCTGGCCAAACAGCTCAGCAGATTAAAG